GAGGCAGGTCTGGCTGCCTCCCCTGCAGCGATGGAGCCCCTGCCCCAAGGCACCCTGCTGGCGCTCCCAGCCTCTGAGCTTTGCTGTCCTCTGCCTCCCCCATGGCTGCAGGGACAATACACAGTTTTTAAACCCCTGACGTGTCCTGCACGTGCGGGGTTTCCTCCCTCCCCTCAGCTCCTTTCTCCAAGGCAGATATGGCTCTGTCAATCTGACCAGCCTTCAGCTTGTGCTGGGACCACTCTGGGATGAGGAGGAAGAGGAAGGACCCAGGCTGGATGTGGGAGGGTGCAGATCTGGAGGGAGGTGTGGATATGGCTGGCCCTGCCCTTCCCGGGCACTGCAACGGGTGCCAGGTCACTCGCAGAGCACCTCCATCTCCCACCCCCTTGCTGGCAGGGCTGTTTTGGGCTCACAGCACATGGTGGGCCATGGTGGGGATGCAGGCAGTGGGAGAGAGCACCGCATCCCGGGGAAGAATGTGGATGCAGGGGTGGAGGGAGGAGTGCAGGAGTGCATGGTTTTGGAGAGCATCATCCGAGAGGGCTGCTCTGCTTTTCCCAGGCAGAAGAGAGGCACGGGAGCATCGAGGAGCACCTCCGGCAGCTGGAGAGCCAATTAGAGGAGAAGAACCAGGAGCTGGCCAGGGTAAGCGCTGCTCAGCCTGGACCAGGGAGTCCTCACAGGTCCTGATCTGGCCTTGACTCTACTTTGCCGTGACGGCTACATGCCTGGGCCCACCATGAAGGGTGGGCTCACTGGTGTCTCTGAAGCAGGATGGGGAGAAGGACCTGGTTAATCCTTTCCCATCCAGGATCTCTTAATCTAGAGTCACCCAGGAGCTCATGACACTCTCTGCTGTGATTTCCCTCTCTCTCAGATTCTAAGTCTTTCTGTTAGTGTGCCACATCCACTCCTCTCCCAGCAACACCTCCCGGGGCAAGCTGGGACCCCAAATGCAGGGTGGAGGGGGAAGCTCTTCCCCCCAGCCTGGATCAGCAGCAGGGTGAGACTGATGGGCGCTGGGAGCAAAGGGTGCTGCCCCTCAAAAAGGCAGGGATGTGGCCGGTGTGTCATGGGGCACAATCCCTGCTGTCTTCCTTAGCCAGTGGCTGGGCTGTCCATGCAGGCGGTTGTGATGCCTGTTTCTCAAGTTGCCCAGGTGGCATTACAGTGTGTGCCCTTGGGGAAGCCCCTGGTTGTTTTGGCCTAGGGCAGACGTTTTGAAGAGACTTTTGCAAATCCAGAGGATTGGCACCCTTTGGGGTCTGGAATGTGCCCCCAGTGTGGCTGTCCCTGGCAGATACACAGGTGAACCTTCCTTGAGGATCAGGCAGGCAGGCAGGTTCTCTTTGGATCCTGTCCTCTCTGCTGTTCATCCTTGCCTGGGAAAGGGTGGAGACCAGCAGAGCCCAGTGGAGGGTCCGATCTGTGCTGTAAGAAGTGGATTTGTTCCCAAAATCTGAGCCTGAGAGATCAGCTCTGCCACCACCAGCGGGCATGGGATGGCAGGAGGGCACTGAGCCCCTCATGGCAGGAGGAGCAGATC